ACTTTTAAATTAGAATTAAATGTGATTTACATATCACTATCACGGTAACAAAGTATTCTGTATTTATATGTTTGCCTTTATCAGTGAATTTTTGTACTTTTATATGCTTTCATATTATGGTTTAGCACCCTTTCATTTCAACTCAAGGGCTCCCTTTAGCATTTCGTTAAAGCTAATGAACAATCTCAATTTTTATGTATTTAGGAGTCTTTATCTCTCCATTTTCTTAAGAACAGTTTTGCTGGGTATAGCATTCTTGGTTGGCATTTTTTCCCATTCAGCACTGTGAATATATGAGCACATCCTCTCTGGATTGCAAGGTTTATAGTAAAAAATCTGCTGATAATCTTATGGGGAGGTTCTTTCGTATGAGACATTTTACTTTTTTTCTTGTGGCTTTAAAATTCTTTGTCTTTTGAAAATTGGATTACAATGTATCTCAGTGTAAATTTCTTTGAGTTCATCTTCTCTTAGAGCTGCTGGGATTCCTGGATCTGGAGATCCATTTCCTCCTCCATCTTTGAGAAGTTTTTGACTATGATTTCTTTGAATAAGCTTTCTGCCCCTTTCTCTCTCTCTTCTCCTTCTGGGACTCCCAAATGCATATATTCATCTACTTTATGGAGTCCCACAAGTCCCCTAAGCTTTCTTTACTCTATCGCACTTTTCCCTTTTTGCCACTCTGACTGGATATTCCAATGACCTGTCTTCAAATTCATTCTTTCTTTTGCTTGATCTAATCTTATGCTGAAACTCTGGGAATTTTTCATTTGTTATTGTATTTTTCAGTTGCATAATTTCTGATTGTTAAAAAATATTTTCTGTCTCTATATTGAAATTCTCACTTTGTTGATGCATTGTTCTCCTGACCTCACTGAGCATCTTTATGATTTCCACTTTGAATTCTCTGTCAGGTAAATCATATATCTCCATTTCATTGAAGTTATTTTCCAGAGATTGATCTTATACCTTTGTTTGGAACATATTTTCCTGTTTCTTTATATTCTTTGACTCTCTGTGTTGGTGTCTGTGTATCAGACAAAATAGCCAGCTCCTAGTCTTCATAAACTAGCCTTTCATAAAAGAAGACCCTCACCAATCAGCCTCTCCAGAGATTCTGGGGGCCTCTCAAACCATCATGCTAGTCCAAACCACTGCCACAGAGACAGGCCTCATGAAAAACCAAACCTGCCAACACCCTGATCTTGAACTTCCAGCCTCCAGAATGGTGAGAAATAAATATCTGTTGTTTAAGCCCCATAGCCTGTGGAATTCTGTTATGGAAGCCAAGAAGACTTAGAGTCCTCACATACTCTATAAACTCCAGGTATGCTCATAGGCCCTTCTTGCAATTTAATGGAAGACAAATTTTAGCCTGAAATAAAACATATCACTTGAAAAAAAATTAGCTATACATATAGATGAAATTAAGAACATGCCGTGAAAAATAATTTTGTTTTCACAAAGTCCATCCAACTTAGCAACCCTCATAGTGGGATAACATGACATTATACACCTTTTAATGTGTTTCAGTATAAAGAACAGGATGTCACCTCTAAAGTATTCTTACCAAAATTGTTTATTTTAGAGCTAACTTCCAATTTACAGAAAACACAGGTGCTAGGAGGAAAAGTTAATGGATAGTATGAGTAAACAATAAGATAAATACAAAATGTGAGACATTCAACAAGGTAGGTAGTCACAGTGAACTCATTACAAAGGCAGTGTCACGAAAATTTTTCGAAAAGAGGAAACTCTTCTAAAGATGTAACAACCAATTGCTGTACAGGAACAAAAATGGATCCTGGTTCCAAATATCAAAAAGAGAAAAAATAAAGTCTATAAAACAAATTCTTATAATAATTAGAGAAAAATAAAGATAGCCTGAATACAGATAATATCACTGCTAATTTCTGAGGTGTGGTAATGTAGAATGACCTTATTCTTTGGACATGTATGGTAAGTATTTAAGGGTGATATGCCAGGATGTCTACAACTCACTTCCAAAAATAGTACCATAAAAGATGTGTGTGTGCGAAGACAGAGGTAGGGAAGGAGGGAGGGCAGGGGAAGAGGAAGAGAGCACAAATATGGCAAAATAGTAGCTGTTAAATTTAAGGAAAGTATATTCTTTCAATTTTTTTGAAACGTCTGAACACATGCATAATAAAAAGTTGGGAAAGATTATCCCAAATGTCACTTCTAAACTATCTATATCAGGATTTGAAGGGGAGAATTCATGGATGGATACCTATGAGCTCCCAAAATTCTAAGTAAAGTCACGTGTATAATCATGTATGTATAATATGCACAGTTTTCCAAGGAAAGAGTTCCCAATTTCCACATGATACTCAAAGTCCATGACCCCCAAAGGGTATGTAAATCACCACTGTAGAATGAAGAAAATCTGTGACAAATAAGAAAATAGCTAGACTTCAAACTCCATGCTTATAAAACAGTACTGCTTGTATTTTTAAAAGTTAACAGGAAGTGGCCTAAAATCCCATTATGATCGGAGCTATCTCAAAATATAAGGAAGCAGCTCACCTTGGCGGCTGTTGACCTCTACACTAAGGGCAGGTTGTCCAGGAGATGGGAAGAGACACGGTGGTCTCTCGCAGTCCATATCCTGAGACCTGGAGGTACTGCTTTAAACAGCAACTCCCAGAAGATGCTTGTCATGCAATGCTCAGAGCATTACATTATAAACAGTAGTCTGTCTTCATATTCTTTTTTTCATTAATAATTTACAAACCGAGAAAGAGCACGAAAGCATGACAGAGATGGAGGAAGCAAATATTGTTTTTCCATGTCTTGATTCGAACCTGACTGACAAGTGTCCCAAATCTCTTCTCTCAGTATTAAGTTCCTCCGAGGCCCCTCGGCATGTCTACGGCCTATTTTTTAAAAGACAGTGAGCACTTTCCTTGAAAATCCTGTTAGCCCTAAGTATAGAACCCGTAAAGGCAACCACTGGGACGGAGGTTGTGGGCCAGGAGCCCAACCACCTACCAACGCCGCTCCCTGGTCTTGTGGGCGGGCCTAAGGAGTGAAGTCCCAGTGCCTGGCTTGGAAGCGGCCACCCATCTCCACTGCCACGCCCACGACACCACGCTGCCTGCTGCCTCAGCACCTTTTCCAGGATTCAGCACAGGGTGCCCTGGGTCTGCCTCCTCAATGGGCCCCTTGCACCTCAAAGGCAGATGCCAAGTCTTACGCACTGTGTTCCCAGCATCTCTGGGTCTGGTGCCTGTCAGGCTTCAGGTGTGCACTACGCTGGGGACACTGGCTGGAACAGCTCATCAGGGACACTGTGACATGAGCTTCATGAGTCCCATCACTCTAGGTGAGGGAAGAATGTGAAGTCACGACATCCACTTAAATATTTTTAAGTGATTTCACATCTGTTCACTCATTTGGTCATTACAAAAGCCCTGGGAATTAGGCAGGAAATAATTCACTCCCTTGTCACAGAGAAAAAAACTGCAGGGAGACGTTAAGTGCCATGCAAGGTCACTTAATGGACCGCAGGAGACTCTAGGGGCGGCAAAAACCTACAAAAATGAAGTGTTATAATACATAAATTCAAATGCTTCTTCATACAGATATGCACGTGCTGCTGGATAACTGGAAGCTTTTGGGGGAGGGCGAGGGAAGAAATTGGGAGTTAAGAATATCTTTTTATAATTCTCTTTTTATAATACTAATTTTGAGAAGAAAGAGAAAAAAACTGGCCGTTTTTACTTGAAAATAATGGGAACATGAAACATATTGACTAGAGGAAAGCAATTCGGTAAAAAAAAGTTACTCAAAAATAAAAGTTATGGTTCCATATTATAACACTTGCTTTTACCAATACTACACTGTAATCTCGGGTATGAAATGTTTTGTCATTTTATGATTTTGCTGTACTTGGAAAAAACAAGTTTTATATATTTACGAAGGTTTTAACTAGTCAACCCTATATTTAAAAAATGAATTACCAATATATAATTCTATTAGGTTATTATATATTACTTTATCATAAAAGTAGAACAGGCACATTAAAGATAATTTTGAAATTAGGTTTTTAAAAATGACTGAGAGGCTCATCACCATAAAATGACAACCTGCTCATGGCATTCTGATTCATGTCCTTCCAGCTGCTCTGTGATGTGGTCCTCGTACCACATACATCGCTTCACATCCTGGCTTTTCCCCTTACCTTTACATCATGAGAGCTCTTCCAGATTATCACGCCGTCTTCGTAACCACAATCTATAACTGGCTGAACTACTGTCTAATGCTTTAAGTGGTTACATCACATTCTCTTTTTGGACAAGTAGACCCTTGCCAAGTTTTACTATCATAAATAATGCTTTAATGAACAACTGTTAGTCCCTTTCTTTTAGATAAATTCCTAAAGCATATTACCAGGTCAAATTGAATGTTAATTTTTAAGACTTCTGACATAACTCTACACCCAAAGGTCTAATATGCATTATTACCAGCACTGAATGAGAATGCTTATTTGATTGTACTCTCATCGGTAATCAGGAAAATCATCTGTATCGGCTTATTACACTTTTTTGCTAATAAATGAAAATATATCCTTATTATGCTATTTTACATTCCCCCTGAGAATGAATACTTTCCTACCATATGATTACTGACTAGTTGACCTTTTTTTGTACATTATCATTATGTCCTTTATCCATTTATCAATTGGCTATGCAAATTTAAACCTAAATTTGTACAAACATGTTCTACAATTAAAACGTTAACTCATTGTTTACCATATTGGTAGGAAATATTATTTTGTTAGCATAGTATTTACTTCAAATTTTTGTTGTAATTTTTACCTGGGTATTGTCATTATCCTTTTCTTTTGTGCTTCTTTAAGGGGCTTTGAAGCCAGCTTCCCGTCCCCACCCTTTCTTCCCCGTGTGACAGTATTTAACTCATTTCCTCCTCAGCTTTCATGGTTTTAACATTACACAGCCACATTCAAGAGCCATTACCTGCTGGTCATCGGGAGTCCATATGCCACATGTGATCTGACTTTCCAAGTTGATCTCAGATGACCAGTGTCTTTGTCCACTGACAGAACCGACCAGGACAAACCCATCTCGATATGAAATTAGCGCTTGAGTCCCATCGTGGCTCCACGTGAAATCACTCACCTTTGAAACACAAACACGAAAGGGGTCAATTTGTAATCTGAAAGGGAAAGCACATTTACAAAGACTAGATACGGTCATTTAAGATCGAGATGCGTTTAAAGAGAATAAAATATATTTGTGTATTATAACAATATTATACAATATAAAAGACAATATTGGAAAGCATGTGTCCGTGCAGTGCTAAGTGCTTTACACACACTGACACACCTCGTAAAACCCATCTGTGAGAGGTATTACCATGTTCATTTTACAGAGAAAATAGGCACAGAGGGGATAAGTAACTCCTCGGTTGCACATAGCTGGCAAATGGCAGAGTTGAGAATAATCCTAGAGTGTGTGGTTCCGCCCACCTTGCTTCTAGCCATTGTTCTATGTCCTCACACTTACGTCCTCACACTAACAGTCTTCATCAGTGTCTCTTGGTCACTTATCAAAATAGTAAAGCTCTGTTTCTCGTCAGTCTCACTAATAATATTTCCTCAATATAGATGAAAAAAAATTCTAACTGGAAAACACACTTGGGTGTTGAGTTTTCTCAAATGCATTTATTACATCTATTCAAATGACCATATCTTTTTTCTCTTTTAATAGTGTAGTGAATTACTTCTATGAATTTCCATTATACTGTCCTTGCATACCTAGAAGTAGCCCAACCTGGAAGTGAAGTATTGTCTTTTACACTCACAGTTGAAGTTGATTTGCTAACATCTTTAAAACTTCTACATCTGTATTCGTGAGTAAAACAGACCTACGATTTCCTATTTTGTAACATCTCTGTCTGGATTTCTCAGGGTTATGTTGACCTCTCAGAAGAATTTTTTCCCACTACCTGGAAGAATCTCTATAAACTGGGATGACCTGTTGCTTGAAACTTTGGTAGAACAGGCTTGTGAAACTGTCTGGCTCTGTATTTTTTTATGGGAAGATTTTAAACCACTGTTTCAATTTATGTCATAGTTGTGGCACCAGTCAAGCTTTCAAGCTTTTTATTTCTTCTTGAGTCAATTCTATTAAAATTTTTTTTAGGAATTTTTCCAGTTCAGGTAAGTTTTCAAAATTATTGTCAAGTAATTGTTGGCTGTATTATTATCCTATTAAAATTCAACTTTACTGAAGTATAATTTGCATACAATAATGAAAGCTTCCCTCGGCAGTCAACCCCCTACCCTCACTCTTGGTCCGAGGTAACCAGTGACTTGATGTCTGTCACTCGTCACTTGTCCCAGAATGTCACATGAATGGAATCATATAGTATGTTTACTTTTGTGCATGGCTTCTTTTACTCAGTATAATGGTTGTGAGAGTATTTTGATATTTTGTATGCATTCCTTTTTATAGATGAGTAATATTTCATTGTATAAATACACGATTTATTTATCGACCCAAATTGCTGGACCCTTAGGTTGTTTCTAGTAGTTGGCTATTATAAAATTGCTATAAACATTCACGTGCAAGACCTTCTGCAGACACATGGCTGCCTTCCTTCTGAGTAAATACTCAGGACTGGAATCAGTTGCTGGGTCATATGGTAAGCGTATATTTAACTGAGTAAGAAATGACCAAACTGTTTTCCAAAGCAGTTATACCATTGTCCACTCCCACGAGCAGGATGTGCGAGCACTAAGAGGTCCACATCCTACCAGCACTTGGTGGTGTCGGCCTTTTCTGTTTTAGCTATTCTAGCAGATATGTAGTAATGTGACCTGGTGCTTTTAATTTGCATCTCTCCCATGACTAGTATGTTGAGCATGATTTCATGTGCTTATTGATCATCTGCATGTCATCTTTTGGGACAGCTATGCTCAAATCCTTTACCTATTCATATACATGTATTCATAGTCACCTATTCATATGTATCGAGAAGTCAGCCTTCTTATTGTTCTAAAAACTCTAGATACAACAATCCTTTATCAGATACGCGTGCTGCAAATAATTTCTTCCACTCTGTGACTTGCCTTTTCATTTTCTTAACGGTATCTTTCAAAGAGTGCAAGTTTTACATTTTGAGGGAGTTCAGTATCAATTCTTTTCTGTTATGATTCATGCGTCTTGTGTCTAATCCATGGAATTTTTACCCGACCCAGCATTGAAAATATAAGGTTTCCAGAAGTTTAGCTTTGACATTTATGTCTATGATTCACTTAGGGTTAATTTTTAGACACAAACCTGGTTCAAATTCTGGCTTTCACACCTATGAACTTTCTTGGGCAAGTTACCAAACCTCCCTGACCTGCTTTTTATCCCATTAACTGAGAAGATCATCTTCCGAACAGGATTCCTATGGAGACAGAGAGACAACAGACGGAAAAGCCAAGCACTGAGTCACATCCCCAGCTCCCCTTCACCTTCTTTCTCTGAGTGACTTTAAACACCTCTTGCCACGCAACTGAAGACATGTCTCACCTGACCACTATGGGTTTCTGAAGAAAAGAGTTCACGCTTGGTGGACAGGAGAATTTCAGCACTTCAGAGACCCTAAATGGTAAACTCAGAGAAGTCTCTACTTTACAGAAAGCCAGGGAGAGCTGCTGCCTCGAGACGGAAGCCAGTCTTTGGTGATGACATCATGGCGACTATTTCCGGGCAGGCGGGCACCGTGCTCGGGGGCTCTGAGGTATTCGCACCTCGTAATGCCACAGACACTATGACAACATGTGGAGACAATTGCTGTGTGCAGACAGTGCTATAAGCACTTTCCATATTTACAGATGAGCAAACTGAGGCACGGAGAAGCATGCCCCATTAAGAAGCCAGACAGTGAGATTCTTGGCCTGTGTGGCCTGACTCCAGAGCTCCCAGGGGCCATGAGCTTCTCAAGGTCGTGGAGACTCCCACACCTGCAGCTCTATTTAGGAGGCTCTATTCAGTAGTCAGAGGGCAGGGTCCACCTCTTCCTTTTTCACTCTATGGAGGTACACACACAGGAAACGGATGAGACCTTTTCAGAGTCGGTCAACATTTATGCTGCCCCAAAAATAAATAACTCACAAAGAAAGAAAATTCTGTTTTTACCCAGAGGTAGCTCTGTCTTCTGTGATGACATCTCACAAAGATCCTCGGTCTGCTAATAATATCTCCACTCCTTGCAATTTCATGTCACTTCACTGTCTGTATCTTTCAAACTTGGGGAGCTCAGAGCTTATTTCAGCAACAGATGGGAGAGGAGAGGGTGAGATCCTTTCCTTAGAAATGTATAGAGGCAGCCGCGGGCAAACCATCCTTGGAAAGTAAAACGGTCTAAGAAACCCCTCATCGGTAAAGGTCTCAAGGACTCGGTTCTGAAGCCACAGCTCTGTTAAACCCCTGGGATGGGACACGTGTCCTTAAGCCCGGGAGCGGAGGTGCTCCAAGCAGCGCCCCCTCAGGCAGGAGGAAGAGCAGAGCTGCCCCACGAGCCGGAAGAACGGGTGAGCTCAGCTCAGCGGGGCGTCCCAGGAGCATCTGTTTTCCTGGGAGTGGAGACAGGTTTGTACCGGAAAGGAAGAGCTGGGGAGGTGACAACAGGGGGCCATGCTAACTGAAACCTGACAGAAGAAAGTGTCAAAAACTCTGCATGGTGAGTAGGCTGAGAGAAACAGCCACGTGGAGTCCCCGTGTGCGACACAGCGAAAGCCTGCGACACAGGGAAAATACCTTTTGAAAGGGAGCGAGAAAGGGATGTGCCAGAAGCACTTCAGAGGATCCAAATTTAACGAGCAATCACAACACTGAATGGTAAAAAATGATTCCACAGATCTAATTAAAGCTTAAAACTCGGAGAGTTCTCGCAACAGCAGCACAGTCGAAGAGAAGGGAGTGTGATCTTTCTCTTTTTACCTAGTGATACGCTCACGAGGAAAGACAAGCAGGGTTCTGGTTTCACTTATTTCTACTCCCCCTACTGGGGAGTCTTCATTTGCCCGGAACACGCGGTCTGCGTTGTCTCCGGCAGACTTTCCGCCCACTCACCTGAGCCCCTCGGTCGTTGACCAGTTCCACGGACCATCTTCCCTCGTACTGAATCCACACGAATATCCCTCCGTCCGCGTCACACGTGGCCAGCTTCTGGTATGGCTCGTTCCATCTCACCAGCACGACCTGAACACAGCCAAGAAGATATTTACCGCAGGGAATAAACCAGTGGGCTAGGCTTATGCCTACAAAGAGGTCAAACTTCAGAACCAAACGGAACGCATGGTCAAGGAAAAGACCAGTGGAGGGAGTGGGGATTAGTGGGGCGCGATGGCCAGAGCACGGCCCACACATGGCAGCGTCACAGGGAACCAGACTCACAAGCAGAGGACATCTGAGCAAATGGTAAACCGTAACGTGAAAATGCCACTGCTATATACACGGAGAAAGCCCCGAGCCCATCTGTACCCTGCCTTGCCTCTCACGAGTGCAAGGATCTCTCATCTGACAGTCCTGTACGCTGGGAAGACAAATTTCACAGAATCTGCTGTATATATGAATCAGGGTGTTATTTATTTAACACAGAAAAAGGAAAGGGCGGGGACTATTTATTTCATTTTCCTCCCAAAGTGAAATTTTCTATATCTTTTCTAGACTCTTTATTTCCAAATAGTTCAGTATCTAAACATGGCCAACTTGGAAAACAAACACTTAAAATATCTAAGATGTTTAGACTTTATCACAGAGGACAAAGAAATTATAAGTTTCAAAATGTGTGACTACAAAAGCAATTTTTTTTCCAATTTTATTTATTTGTTTGTTTTTATCTTTTATGTCTGGCTTTTTTTTTTTTTTTAATTTTTTAATTTTTTTTTTCCAAAAGCAATTTTTAAATGTGAAAAAAATCTGAACCAGATAATCACTTTCGCCTTTTTCAACTATGACTCCCTCATCTAACAGGTGGACCCCCTAGTAGGTGGCTTGGGATGAGGTAAATGCCCGAGGACTGTTGTCACAGAGTCCAGTAAAACCTGTAAGGACGCAGGGCTTGAAGTGATCCCAGGAACTACAAAACCAGCACCCCATGTTGGCTGTGCTGAATGTCCCCTGAGATGGTGGTTAGTGGAATTCGTTCTTTCAGTGGGTCATTCGGGTTGTCCTGATTGGTTCATGCTGTGTGGTCCTGTGACTATTACAGAGTTGGAGGGGACCGGGCCCCGCTCTTGGTAAAATGTGAACCAAGAGCCGGGACATCCACAGATATGTGGACATATACGGATGTGTACCTGTCAAGCCAGGACTGTCATCAACCAACAAGAGCACACCTTCAATTTATGAGGACTAGAATCCCGTCTTTTCCTAGGACTTCATGACTCATAAACCAGTAACCCTTGTGAACATGTGGCACCTTTGTAAATGGTCTCCATATCCTAACTTTGACACCTGACCCTTGAACAACACGGGAACTAGGGACACTGACCCCCCTGTACAGTCAAAAATCTGCCTATAACTTCTGACTCCCCCGAAACTTAACTACAGCCGTCCCTCAGTATCCATGGTGGGTCGGTTTCAGGACCCCCGTGAAAATGAAAACCCACAGATGCTCAAGTCCCTATAAGAAATGGCACAGATCAATCAATGCATATAGTCCGCCCTTCACATCCATGGCTGGTTGAATTTATGGATGCAAAACCTGGGGATACAGAAGGCTGACTGTATAGTTATTGAAAAAATCCACATATAAGTGGACCTATGCAGTTCAAATCCATCTTGTTCAAGGGTCCGCTGTATTCTAAAATAGCAAGCGGGGCCAATGACAGATTTTAAGGACCTCCAAAATGCCAAGACCTGTCCTCAAGCCCATTTGTGTCCGAAACATAGACCAATGCAGATGCCCTGTCCTTTCTCAGAGTTGTACCGTGGGTACGTCTGATTTTAGGTTTTTATGTTTATTTTCAAGGCGCCAGAGGGGGAGCAGCCCCCAGCCTTGGTCTGCCACGCTTGGTGGCATTACCATTAGTTTTAAGATGCATAATAGAATCTGCAAATTTTCCTAGAGGAAATTATGACCCACTTAAAATGTAAGTATACTGTAAATCTTTTTTAAAACTCTGCACACATCAGAGAGAGCTGTGAGGTTGCAATCTTGAGATATGGCAATCATGAGTCAAATAAGTCTAACCTATTTTGATGGCTCCCACGCCAAAGGCAACTCCCACAGATCCAGACACAGACCATTCCCAGCAGCCCCGTCCAGCTCTGTCCCTCTGCTGAGACCTCCCGCCTCACTGTCACAGACCTGCAGGTGCAGCGCTGACACCTCCCACTGGAACTACCGGTGAACGTGCACTGTCCCGAGCCGCGCTGCCTGAGGAAGGGACAGAGGCACGCTCATCTTTGAATTCTGACACTCCGTAATTTTAAATGTATTGTGCCAAAAGGTAATGTATAATTAGAAGTTATGATCATTATTCAGTTACATCTTTGAACTATAAAATGTTATTGAAACTATTTCAAGCAGGTTATTTTCGACTCCCAAAGGCATTTTAATAACTGCTAATGGTGATGCCTGCCTATGACAGATTAGTAGGTGTTGAGGACAGACATTATGACATCTTTGTCCCGTAGAATTCAGTTCACTAAATGGACATAATCTAGTGCTCTCTCTGCAGTCAGAGAAGACCCTCGACACCGGTGGATGGGGGTGAGGAACTAGTCCAGATTTTTTTTTTTAAGTCTTGGTTTTTAAATTCTCTATTTAAATTACTGATCTAATTTTTTAAAACAGTAAAATCAATACTACAATGAAAGTCTTTAAGTGCATGTAATATATCATAAAATTTAAAATTTCCAAATGGTCAATAAAAGCCAACTTCATCACCTTCTTTCAGACCAGTTATGGTTTGGCCCAAGCACTGCAATCTGCAAAAGTGCACGTGGCTACAATTTGGTCCCTAAAGCCCGCAATCACTAATGAACTCAGAATGGCTGCCACAGGACGGAACATGACCAATGGCACAGTGAACATCCATCTACTATGCCCTTCCTTATAAAACAGTATTTGATGACAAGGTGTCTTATTTGAGGGCACAGAGGTCAGTCACATTTTCTAAACTTTCACCATTTTTCTTTAACATCCACCGCCAGGTATGGCTGCGTATTTAGTTCACGTCAATAATCAAGCCCCCATTCTCCATGAAAGCTGCCGGCAGAGTCACAGCATGACACGAACGTGAAAGGGCAGAGGCGAGAAGCATTTTACCGTTATTTCAAACGTTAAAGATGTCTTGGTCTTAGGAGAACATGGTGGCAGTTGTTGGATAAACAGAAAGTTCAGACTCAATCTCTTCTTTCGTGATTCCTGATCAGTTGAGATGCAGCACTATAGGGAAGCGCAGTCCCCACTCCCACACTTCTTTGCTGTGAGTTCTAACACATACAACTGAATAGGTGGGTAGCTCCCCAAAATTAGAGAAAGAAACCTTTCCAACGATTCTCAGTTTAAAAATAAAGTCAAGCCGCCAGTGCTGTCACCCTGGATTAGCAGTCTCATTTCCTCCCTGTCTGCAGCTCGGAGCTGCTGCCTTATCTCGCAGCGGCTTATTTCCTGTTCTCCGAGTCCTTCCAGACTGCCTGGCGATGCTGGGACATGCCAGAGTGCTGAGGAATTACCAAGCAGCCGGCCAGCTGGGTTCTCAGTCGCCCAGATTATGTGGCAGGGTGCTAAGCATCTGTGCAGGCATTCTAAGGCAGGACTTTCCTTCCCTTTTAAAGAAAAAAGGGGCTCGGGTTTACACTGGGCACAAAAGAACCTCAGCATTTAGGCTGTTAGCTGAAGTGCATGTTTTACTATAAAGACAGAGGATAAGCTAAGCTTTGACCTGGGTCTTTGATTATTCAAAAAAAAAAAGCTAGCCTGTTACCCTTTTCTAACTTTTTACAGTTATCGTTATCAATAAATATTTATTGAGGACTATTAAAAGTACAGAAATCTACACTAAAAATATAGGGCAGGTCTGCTGGAAGTTGAACGGGCTGTATTCTAATGCCCTAAATACGTCACTTCACTCCTGGCACCTAGAACTATTTTGGGGAGAATAAAACAGTCAGTTAACCCAACTCAAGGATGGTGAAAAAGATGAACTCTTTTCAGGCAAGAACCCTTCAAATGATGTTGATATATATGAATATCATTTATATTTTATAAAAAGCTATAGGAACCCACCTCATTAAACAACCAGTATCACCGATATTCAGGAATACTTCCCTCAACCTAAATGTAACTCAAATGAATGCTAAATACCAATAGATCAAGTAATAAATCCCTGCAAACAACTATTACCACTCAGTTCTTCCTATTCTGTAATTTATTAAGTGAAACAGCAATAATTCAACTGCACGAGGAAAACAAGGATGGGGGCCAGCCTAATTTTAGATACATTTAGTCATTTAAACAAAGAGCCAAGAGCATCTTAAAGTAGAGGCTGGAAGAACTTCAATGCGAACAGCGGTTTCCAGACAGTGCTCGCCAGCAGGAAGGGCCTACGAAGCGGCGGGACTGGGCTCTGGACCCGGGTCCTGCCCTGCCCTCGGCACTCCCAGCGGCGTGGCTGAGGGCAACCTGCTGACCCGCTTGGTGCCCCGTCCCCATCTGCCGGTGGGGTGACGGCAGTGCATCCCACTAGACTCATCGTGAGGGGCGTGGGAAAGGGCCTTACAGTGCCAGGCACACGGCACATGTTCAGTCGGTGAGAGCTCCGAAATGCTTATTCGTGAGCTAGAACTGCCAGGACGTGAGTCCAGTCCAGCACGGCCTTTGCGTGTGTGGTTTCCTCCTCTGCAAAATAAGATAAATGGTTCGAAAGTTTGTCCCTCTTTCCAGACCCACCTCCTGCTACTTGCACCCCATTCATCCAGCTCTGTACCTTAAAAATCGACCCCCCCATAGTTCCTGCCACCCTCTGCCTGGAACACTCATCTGTCCCCTGGCACCTGGTGATGAAGGCTTCCCTGACAGTCCATTACCGCGGCAGGCTCTTTCCAGTTGTGGCACATGAGCTCAGGCCCTGCACTGACTCCCCCAAACGTCTGTGTCCCTCACCAGCCCGACTTTTCCACTCTTCTGTTCCCAGGCCCAGCACTATGCCAGGCACAGAGCAGGCACACCCCACGGGCCTTTCTAAACT